ACAATAGTAATGATAATGATAACAACTAATAGAAGCCATTTTCCCATCCCATCATAAGACTGGATATAGATTTAATTTTTGGACTCCAAGAAAAATTTTAAATACTGCAATTTCTTTATCCCAAATTTGGTATTGGCTGTTTCGCCAACCTAGCCATTACCAGACTTCAAATTTAGGGAGTAAGTTTGGCTGAAATCTGAGAAAGGTAGAAGTAGACACTGGCTCCCCGCAGCAGGGTAGGCAGAAAGGAGGGATGGGAGACGTTAGGGAGTGAGCAGGGGTAGAAGAGGTGGAAAAACAAAGGGTTATCGTCTATTTCTATTTCCTAAAGTTATTCTAATCCTTGGGGAGGCCTTTCTCCTGTCAAGCAGTCCTCGTTTTTTTTTCTGGCCATAATTCTGAAACAACTGTCAAATTCAACTTAAAGACCTTTCTTTGAGCATCTAAAGAGCCCTCAATAACTGGTTATTTTGGACAGTTTTAGAAAAGTAGGCCAGGCATGGTGGCTCATACCTATAATCTCAGCACTTTGGGAGGCCGAGGCAGGTGGATCATGAGGTTAGGAGATTGAGACCATCCTGGCCAACAAAGGCGAACCCCATTTCTACTAAAATACAAAAAATTAGCCGGGCATGGCGGTGCGTCCCTGTAGTCCCAGCTACTCAGGAGGCTGAGGCAGGGGAATTGTTTGAGCCTGGGAGGTGGAGGTTGCAGTGAACCGAGATCACACCACTGCACTTCAAGCTGGCAACAGAGTGAGACTCCGTCTCAAAAAAACAGAAAAAGTGTTAGCATTTGTGAGCCTCTCTGTGTTATTTTTGATGAAAAGTTTCCATTGAAAAATTCATAGGCTGGGAGTGGTGGCTCACACCTGTAATCCCAGCACTTTGGGAGGCCGAGGCTGGTGGATCACAAGGTCAGGAAATTGAGACCATCCTGGCCAACATGGTGAAACCTCATCTCTACTAAAAATAAAAAATTTAGCTGGGCCTGTAATCCCAGCTACTCAGGAGGCTGAGGCAGGAGAATCACTTGAGCCAGGGAGTTGGAGGTTGCAGTGAGCTGAGAACATGCCACTGGACTCCAGCCTGGTGACAGAGCAAGACCACATCTCAAAAAAAAAAAAAAAAAAAAATTAGCCAGGCATGGTGGTGGGTGCTTGTAATCCAAGCTACTCAGGAGGCTGAGGCAGAGAATTGCTTGAACCCAGGAGGTGGAGGTTGCAGTGAGCTGAGATCACGCCACTGCATTCCAGCCTCGGCAACAGAGTGAGACCCAGTCTCAAAAACAAAAACTCGGCCGGGCGCAGTGGCTCACACCTGTGAGCCCAGCGCTTTAGGAGGCCGAGGTAGGCAGATCACAAGGTCAAGAGATCAAGACCATCCTGGCCAACATGGTGAAACCCCATCTCTGCTAAAAAATACAAAAATTAGCTGGGCGTGGTGGCACGTGCCTGTAGTCCCAGCTACTTGGGAGGCTGAGGCAGGAGCATTGCTTGAACCTGGGAGGTAGAGGTTGCAGTGAGCTAAGCTCATGCCACTGCACTCCAGCCTGGTGCCTGGCGACAGAGAAAGACTCTGTCTCAAAAAAAAAAAATTTTCATGCTGAATACAGAAAATGTGAAAAACGGACAACCATAAATGGAAGAACAATCGTCAGTAAGATCACTCCTCAAAAACGAAGTTTTAGAAGCTGATTCAGGGCCGGGTGCGGTGGCTCACACCTATAATCCCAGCACTTTGGGAGGCTAAGGCAGGTGGATCACGAGGTCAAGAGATCGAGACCATCCTGGTCAACAAGGTGAAACCCTGTCTCTACTAAAAAAAATACAAAAATTAGCTGGGCATGGTGGTGCGTGCCTGTAGTCCCAGCTACTCGGGAGGCTGAGGCAGGAGAATTGCTTGAACCCAGGAGGTAGAGGTTGCAGTAAGCCGAGATCGTGCCATTGCATTCTAGTCTGGGTAACAACAGCGAAATTCCATCTCAAAAAAAAGAAGAAGCTGATTCAGTATAAGAGAATTTTTTTTTCTTTGCGAGACAGAGTCTTGCTCTGTCACCCAGTCTGGAGTGCAATGGCACAATCTAGCTTATTTATTTATTTATTTTTGAGACAGAGTTTCACTCTTATTGCCCAGGCTGGAGTGCAGTGGCACAATCTCAGCTCATTGCAACCTCCACTTGTGAGTTAAATGATTCTCCTGTCTCAGCCTCTGGAGTAGCTGGGATTACAAGCTCAAACTGCCACACCTGGCTAATTTCTTTTTGTATTTTAGTAGAGACAAGGTTTTGCAGTGTTGTCCAGGCTGGTCTCGAACTCCTGAGCTCAGGCAATCCACCTGCCTCAGCCTCCCAAAGTGCTCTGATTACAGGCATGAGCCACGGCACCAGGCCCAACTAAAGAAAAATTATGGAATCACAGTCCTATTACTTGAAGACAACTTAAGGCACAAGAACACTAAGGAAAGGACTTCTTTTAAAAAAAATTTTTTTTGAATCACAGTCTCGTTGTATTGCCTAGGCTGGGGTGCAGTGTCGTGATCTCAGCTCACTGAAACCTCCACCTCCCGGGTTCAAGCGATTCTTGTGCCTCAGCCTCCCAAGTAGTTGTGACTACAGTCATGTGCCACCATGCCTGGTTAATTTTTGTATTCTTAGTAGAGATGTGTTTTGCCATCTTGGCCAAGCTGGAATCCAACTGTTATCAGTGGAGGATGTTCAGGTTCTTGGAGTCTTGAACAAAGAATTGGAAAAAACGCACAAACAAAGCAAGGAAAGAATGAAGCAACAAACACAGAGATATTTGAAAATGAAAGTAGGCTCCACAACATGGGAGCAGGCCCGAGCATAGGGGCTCAAGAGCCCCATTACAGAATTTTCTGGGGTTTGAATACCTTCTAGAAGTTTCCACTGGTTACCTGGTATACAACCTATGTAAATGAAGAGGATGAAGTAAAGTTACAGTCATTTACTTAGGGGGTGCTCTGAGTAAATGGAGATGATATTTCCTGTCATAGCTGAAGTGTTTCCATTTGATTCAGTTCTAGGAAGTCAGCATGAATCTGCTTTATGTTCCCTGCCTCCAGACCCAATTCTCCTGTCTCCTGCCCACAAATCCTGGGCTCAAGTGATATGCCCGCCTCGGCCTCCCAAAGTGCTGGGATTACAGGCGTGAGCCATGGCGCCCGGCCAAAATGTAAATGAGTCCTCGTAAAGCAAAAAAAGGTATTGTGAGTAATAAAGTTGAACTATGAATTAAAATAGTGTTTTTGTATATGTGTGGTAGTCCAGATTATCTATGAATTTAACTACATTTTGTGGTCTGCTATGAATTGACTTAAACAAATTGTTGCATGTGTCCTCTCACTCAAGGCCTCATTGTGGACAAGTCTCAATTTTTTTGAAACTTAGTTCCTTGAGCTATAAACGAGAAGACTGGGCTGTATCTCAAAGGACACTGACAGCCAAATAAGTTATGACACAGGGAATTTGGCCAGGCCTGGATCAATCTTTTATGATAATAAAGAATTAATTCATAAAGCAGAAACATCAATTAAGGAGAGAAGAGAGTTCTCCATCTTTATTTGCAACCAGAGCAGATACAATGTGTTTCCTGTCCTTTCTGCAAGTAGCCATGGGAAAGGGGGGAGGGGAGAGAGGACAGGGACAGGATGTCTTTCCCTGACATGTCACTCAGCAGCCTGTATCTTTTCATTTTTTTCATGGCCATCAAGTCTGATAGCCCAGAAGTACGTCCTAGAAAACATAAGAATTCCAGATAACTTGTTAGGGTGATAAAAAGGTGCTTAATTTCATTTGCTTTTTTTTTTTGAAACGGAGTTTTGCTCTTGTTGCCCAGACTGGAGTGCAATGGCGCAATCTCGGCTCACTGCAACCTTCGCCTCCTGGGTTCAAGCAATTTTCCTGCCTCAGTCTCTGGAGTAGCTGGCATTACAGGCATGCGCCACCACACTTAGCTAATTTTGTAGTTTTAGTGGAGACGGGGTTTCCCCATGTTGGTCAGGCCGGTCTCGAACTCCTGAACTCAAGCGATCCACCTACCTCAGCCTCCCAAGGTGCTTTGGTTCACAGGCGTGAGCCACCAAGCCCAGCCTCATTTGCATTTTAAAAATTGTTTTCAAGGGCCTTCCCTTTCTCCCACTGTTGCAGTGTGAATTTATAGTGACATATTGTCAGACTTCGGAAAAGGAAAATATTTACAGAGAGCCACTTAAAAGGAAAGGACTTTGGTGTACCTTTGGTAGGCGGATGCTGTTGCCAGTTTGCAAGTGAATCGTAAAAGAAACTGGAACAGGACAAGTGAAAATGGAGAGGGGACAGGATATCTAAGACTGGGCTAGGAAGCAGAAAGGGACCTTGCTCTTTCAGGTGGTGTCGCTTTGCAGGCAGTGTTATACTTGATTCTATGCCAATCTTTGATAACAGAAATGGTGTCATTTATCTTAATATTCCCAGCGCGAGAGATAACCGATAATCAAAATATATGTTCAATTAAATGGAGTAAAAATGAGCGGGAGTAAGGAAAAATGAGGCAAATAACAAAGCATCTGTTATTGGATGCTAAAACTTTTACAGGATTTACTGCAGAGGGCTGCAAAGGGAAAGAAACTTCAACAGAGCAGGTTTTCCGACGGGCTGTCAACAAACTACAATTTGCAGGCAGCAGCAGCAGCAAGCTGCGGCGCTGTCTTGGAGAGGTGAGCAGCGTTCCTTAGAAATGAAAACTGGTCAGGCAACAGGTTTGAGCCCCTCGAGTCAAAAAAGAAAGGCAGGAGCGACAGCGACCCGCAGACTGGCAGAATGGAGGAGCGTCTAGGGTGATAAAAACTCCGAAGTCGGAGCCGGCACGAGAGCTCGCAGGACTGACGGCGGGAGAACCCGTCCCGCTGCCGCACCAGGTAGTTCGCTTTGACGGTTTCTTCACAGAACGACCAGGAAGCCTTAAACGATACGCGGCTCGGGCTGGTATCTTGGCGTGATAACTTCCGTGTGTGTGTATGTGTGCAACAGGGAGTGCCGCCCGCGTGCTTGTGTGTGTGTGCGCAAAAGGGAGCGCCGCCCGCCAACTTCCGCGTGCAAGGAAGACTGGAGCGCCGCCCGCCCGCGCCCAGCCAGCAATAGGAAACCCGCGCTCCCCGCCAAGCCCGCCCCTCCGCGGCGAGCCGGAGTGGGCGGGACAGGCCCGAAGCCACGCCCCAGCCGAGGCGAAGCCCCACAGGCCGCCTTGGTCTCGCTCGCCCGCGTCCCGCCCCACGACTACATTTCCCGGCAAGCCCCGGGCCACCCGCGCGCTGCAGTTGACCCATTTCCCGGCCCGTCACGGGCTCGGCCGGCCCCCGCGCCCAGGCGGCTGCTCCCTGCTGACTGGGGTGTGGGCGGGAGCGGCGGAGGGAGGAGGAGGCGCTGCTTGCCGCCGCTGTTGCCTCCGCTGCTGGGCGCCGGGGCAGCTCCCCGGGTATCTGCGGCCGCCATGGACGAGCAGGCGGGTCCCGGCGTCTTCTTCAGCAACAACCACCCGGGCGCCGGCGGTGCCAAGGGGCTCGGGCCTCTGGCGGAGGCTGCCGCGGCCGGCGACGGGGCGGCTGCGGCGGGGGCGGCCCGAGCCCAGTACAGTCTCCCAGGGATCCTGCACTTCCTGCAGCACGAGTGGGCCCGCTTCGAGGTGGAGAGAGCCCAGTGGGAGGTGGAGCGGGCGGAGCTGCAGGTAAAGACCCTCCCGGCCTGGCCGTCTTCATCCCGCCTCTTTGCTCCCTTCCGCCCCGCCCCGGACCCTTCTCCCCCTCCCCCAGCCCGCTCGCGTTCCCTCCCCCTTTGCTACCGCCCATCCCACCCTGAGCCCCGTTCCCTTCCTTCCTTCGTCTTTTGCCTTTCGCTGACCCCACCTCAACCCTGTTCTCACTCCTGTTACCTGTGCGTTGTTTACCCTCCCCACGCCTGTTCGTCGCCCCATCCCACTCTTAACTCCCAGGCTCATTTCAACTCTGGCCATCCCGCATCTCAGGGCTGCCCTCTCGGTTTACTAATTGGGCTGGCAATAGTTTTGAGAGACGCGGAGCAAACCGTCCGCTGTCCTGGTGTGCCCCATCCTAGGTCTAGAGACAGTCCCGGCAGAAGGTGCCGGCTTTGGCCCGTCTCTGCGAGGAAGGTGATCAAGAAGACAGCAGAAGTTGTGTCAGTGAGGCCTCGACTTGACACAAGAAGTTGACGTTGAGCAAAAGTGTTATGCATGTATCAGCTCCCTTTTTAATATATGTAAATATCTCCTCCACTTTCTTCCGACCCCCTCCCACGTTTCTTTTAAGTATTTCCAATTAATGCATTTTGAATGAAGGACCTAGATGATCACAGTCAGAGAGAATGGTTCAGAGATGGTTCCTGTTCTCAGAATCTGAAACGTCCCAAGGGTTAATTTTATGTTCAGTGTTTTGGGAGATTTTTTTGTACTTTAAAAGGAAATAGAGGGGCTTTGAAGTTAGTTACATTGCCTTGCATAATCTGCAAGATAAAGTATAGCCAGGGAGGAGATACTGTGGGCTCTGAAAATAATGAAAGTGAGGCTGATACTTTACAGGCCATTCAGAATTGGTGAATAGGTTTTTCAGTGGTTGTTTTAAAACTTTCAAAGCATACACACCAATTTCAAGAGGAACTTAACTATGAATAGTTGTGCCTTTCTGTTTTACGGGCTAAGCCTGTATACTTATGAAATTTGAATATAGTTTTAGTTGGCGAAACACTTGAGTTTAAAATGCTACCCAGTGTGTCACTTTTTTTGGTAACATGTATTTTCTTTGGCACTTAAAAAAAAAAAAAAGAGGAGAAATCTGTTAAATAGAATCATGTGCTGGAACAGGCTCTGTGGTGTAGTGGAAGTGACTGTGGAAAGAGCCAACACACGGGGCTATAGTAGACAAGGTTATAGTAAGGGCTGTGTTTGTTGCTAGGTGTGTGACCTTGAGGAAATCCTTTAACCTCTCTGGGTTTCACTTTTATCATTTATTTATTCAGCACCTGTGTATTGAGTGCCAGTGTCAGTGAGGCCTTGACTTGAGAAGTTGACGTTGAGCAAAAGTGTTACGCATATATCAGCTCCCTTTTTAATTTATGTAAATATCTCTTCTCCACTTTCTTCCGACCCCCTCCCACGTTTCTTTTAGGTATTTCCAATTAATGCATTTTGAATGAAGGACCTAGATGATCACAGTCAGAGAGAATGGTTCAGAGATGGTTCCTGTTCTCAGAATCTGAAACGTCCCAAGGGTTAATTTTATGTTCAGTGTTTTGAAGGCCAGCTATGTGTTTAGGCCCGGGGTTGAAAAAAAAAAAACGACCAAGCTTCTGCCCTCATTGAGTTTATGTTTCAATGAGGCAAACAGTCGAGCAGATGTGCCTATAGAATATAGTGGTTTATAGTGGCAACTGCTGTGAGAAAAAAATAAGAGTTCAGGAATAGAGTGTGTTAAGGGCAGCTATTTTAGATGGGGTGGTCAGTGTAGGCCTCTGAGAGGTGACAAATGAGCAGTTGAATGAAGTGAGGGAGTGACCAATAGTTTCTATGATTGCTTATAAGTCTGTATTTCTTTTTTTAGACGGAGTCTTGTTTCATCACCCAGGCTAGAGTGCAGTGGCGCAGTCTCAGCTCACTGCAACCTCTGCCTCCTGGGTTGAGGTGATTCTCATGCCGCAGCCTCCTGAGTCACTGGGATTACAGGCGCCTGCCACCAACACCCCGGCTAGTTTTTGTATTTTTAGTAGAGATGGGGTTTCACCATGTTGGCCAGGCTGGTCTTGAACTCCTGCCCTTGTGATCTGCCTGCTTCAGCCTCGCAAAGCACTGGGATTACAGGCGTGAGCCACCACACCCAGCCTTAAGTCTGTGTTTTTAGTTATATGTTTATATTCTTTGGCATCTTTCGCATCCCTGCTGTTCTGTCACTGTAGTATTTAGTTGATCTAGTCTATTTGCAAGTCATCTTTGACCTTGTCTATAGAGTTTCCAACAAATTTGAATGCTTACACGTTGACATTTATTAGAAGTGCATTCTATAAAAGGTGTGGCTTTCAGGCTTCAAGGAAATGTTGAAGGCAGAGTTTAATGTTGTGCAGTTGTGGGCAGTGATTTTTGTATGTAGCTACTTAAAATTTAATTTCTTTTCCAGTTTTAGGAATGTAAGATAAGTCACAGTAATTTGGTGAAAAACACACCAGAAAACAATGCTTACCTTCCTACTTGTGTAAGTTGGGGAGTTCCAACCCATCCTCTCCCCTGTTCACTCCCTCTCCTCTTTTAAACTTTTCAATTTACCAGTAACTAGTTAATCTTCAATTTTTATACACACATCCACAAACACCCCTTCCTGGGTTACTCGTGGCAAATGTTTATTAACTCCAGGTAGCTTTCCCATGGGTGCTTATCATATTAAAGACACTACTTAAAAAAATTTTTTTTTCTTATTTTGGAGACAGGGTCTTGCTCTGTTGCCCAGGCTGGAGTGCAGTGGCACTATCTTGGCTCACTGCAACCTCTGCCTCCCAGGTTCAAGCAGTTCTTCTGCCTCAGCTTGCCAAGTAGGTGGGATTACTTGGGATTACGTGTGCCACTATGCCTGGCTGATTTTTGTATTTTTAGTAGAGATGGGGTTTCACCATGTTGGCCAGTTTGGTCTTGAACTACCTCAGTGATCTGCCTGCCTCAGCCTCCCAAAGTGCTGGGATGATGGTGTGAGTCACTGCACCCAGCCAAGGACATTGCTTTTTTAACAGTATCTTTTGTGCGCAAATTAAATTAAGCTTCCATAGAGAAACTTTAAAAATGTATAATTTTCCTAACAGAACGTGTATGATATATTTTGGGGAGAAGGGTTTGCAGTAATCTGTGGTCTTTGTCGCCCCTTATTAGTATAATTGAAAAAAATTTAAATCATTTCTTTAAATTAGCATCATTACATTTGAATCTTCTCTATTTTTCTTTTGCCATTGGAATTTTCTTAGAAACACAATAGGAAGTAAAAGAGTTGAATGCATTGTGATGAAATATGGATCAGTTGGTGTCCTCCTTTTAATTTTTAAATCTTTTCTCAAGCCATTACCACCAGAGTCAACATAAATACCTTTAAGATTAAGTCAAGTTTGCCCCTTCAGGAACCTGTCAGCCTTGCTCTTTCAGGTTGCCAGGGAAGAGTTGTGAAAGGCTATCCAAGCTCATCTACCTGGCCTGCCGTTACTGTTTCCTACCTCCTTCAGATCTTGGGAGTAAGGAAACAGTCACATTATAGCAAATACCTGATTGTTTGTTATTTATTTCACTCTTGCCCATCTTAGTTGATAAATTCTCTCTTTATTTTTGATAATGCTCTCCTCCTCACATCCAGTTGAGATTAGACAATTCATGGGGGTGGGAGGAAAAGAATGATTAAGATTTTTAGTGAGCTTTACATTTGTAAAAGGAATTGGAGAAGGAATACTAATCATATTTGAGAAAAATGTGTATGTGAGGCATTGTGCTAGATGACCTCAAAAGAAACATGTTTAGTTAGTGTGATATAACTTGTAAAAGAATCAGAGTGTTTATCATTTGGGGAGGGAGTTAGTTTCCTTAGAATAGTGAAAGAGGCTGGGCGCAGTGGCTCGTGCATGTAATCCCAGCACACTGGGAGGCCCAGGCGGGCAGATCACGAGGTCAAGAGATTGAGACCATCTTGGCCAACATGGTGAAACCCTATCTCTACTAAAAATACAAAAATTAGCTGGGTGTGGGGGTGAGTGCCGGAGGCTGAGGCAGGAGAATCCCTTGAACCCGGGAGGCAGAGGTTGCAGTGAGCTGAGAACGCGCTACTGCACTCCAGCCTGGCAACAGAGCGAGACTGTCTCAAAAAAAAAAGGAATAGTGAAGGAGAGAAGAGTTAGCAGTGAATGGCAAGAATATCAGGAGGAAAGAACTTTATGAGGTCATGAAAACCTAAGACTCCGTATTTGAAAATTACTGACTTAGGATAAAACAGGCATGTAAATAAAAAATAAAAAATGTTGGCCCTAGATTTTGATATGTGTGTGCCATAGAAAAGGCTCTGCTATTTACCTGGAAGTGTTAGAGTTGTGTGAAAAAGGTGGCAAGATTGAGTAGCTTAGGGCATGTGGCACAGAGGCTGTATGCTGGAGTTTCAGCTTTAATGAGTTGTATTTTCTGGGTTTTGGCATTAATGATTTATATTTTCACTCCCCAAATATTTTTCAAGCAACCACCTCATGCCAGGCCTTGTTGTAAACACTGGAGATAAAAATACAGATCCTGCCCTTGTGAAGCTTAAATTGTTGAGGCAGACAGTGATAAATAAATACATAAAATGTTGGTAAGGAAAATAAGAGGGTTTGAGAGGGTGGAATGGGGAAGAAAGGATTCACTGATTAGATGCCATTCGAGCTAAGAGCTGAAAAGGTGATACCTAAGGTGAGGAAAGAGCTTTCTAGATGGAAGGAACAGCTGGGGGAAGGGAGCATGCTTGGAATGTTTAAGGAACAACAAGGAGGCAAAAGTGGCTAGAGTAGAGGAAGAGAACAAAGAAGTCATGTCAGACAGGGTAAGGACTTTGGCCTTATACCTCAGCAAGATGAGCAGCCATCAGAATGTGTTGAGCAAAAGAGTGATGACACCATCTTTAAAAGAGACCCTTTGCAATGATTCAGAATAGCCTTGGAGGGCGACAA